ATTCATCCACTCTATATAGGTAGGTAGGAACAGGAGTTTGGAGGTCCCATTAAGAAGAACTTACAAAGTAAGAAGAGGAAGCCGACCGAAGATTGGAGGAATTGATCCATAGATATAATTGTGAGTTAGATCTCTGGGATGATAAAGAAGTCATGTAAGTGTTCTGCTTTAGATGAAAAATGAGGGAAAAAGACAGAATAGAAAATATTAGCTCAATGCAACTGCTTTAATTTCAGAAGCAAAAATAGACTCGTATCGAACTATACCTTCTATTAAATTAACAAACGAAAGTAAATGACTGGCATACATATTCGATCAACTCAATAGAGTACCCAAAATAACAATGTTGCTACTTACAACTCTTTTAGATAAGTAAGATTCGCAAATTCTGCAGGCAAGATTCCAGTCAAATTGAAACCCTTCATCTGGCTGTACATACAAAGTGGAGTTGAATTTGAAACATGACTTAAATAAATAACAATTTCTTAATGAATAATGACCGTGTTAATCATCTCAATTCACCATAAGAACACCCCCGTTGAGGGTAAAATGAGAGAAGAAAACTTCGAAAGATATCTCAATGATAATCAATTATGTATGTATAATTATCTCAATTTCATTATAAGGTTTATGGTCATCAAGCCCATGGAGTTGACTCGATGGTGATCTGTTTAAAAAAACATTCAAACGAACCATTTCGTTCATCCTTGCGTCGAGTAGCAATGTTAAAGAAAGCTTTTCAAATATTATGACTAGTACATTAGGTACATTTCGACTCCCTGGGCTATATGGAAGAGGCTCTTTATATCTATTTCATAACCATTGTATTTCTTCTTAAAACTCTCAATGCAAAATATGGAGGCCATAAATACAACAAAGTCAATTAAATTTTAAGCCTAGCCAAACATATGTCTAAGCTTAGAAGTTTTTTTAAGCAACTATTTTTTTCAAACACATTGGCTTGTTCATTCACAAATTTACTTTTCTTAAAAAAGTAATTTTACGTTTCTCTTTAGATCTCACTTCGTGCTCTTGCTTCCTCCTTCCCCATCTCTGAGGCTTAGGTGGAGGAATGGAGCATGTGGAAGGATACCAGTGGCTGTATACAATCCAAGGATCCGCGTGAAGATTGGCCAAACATGCTTTATGCATATGGGGTTAAAACTAATTTTTTGTTATTAATCAAAGATTTTAATTTTTTTCTGTCAATATTGTCCACTACTATCACATCCACCTTACCAAATTGCCATAAATGTACAATCACAAAAACTTTGAACAAAAAAAGAGTAAGAGCATACATGTGCGTCACATGGCAAACAGTGTTGTTAACAAATGAACAGTCACAAGTCACATTGCTGTAGACATCGTCACCCCAAATGGTCATGTTAAAACCGGTACTCTCACTGCAAGATCTTCGCGTAACATTCCAGTATTTGTTTTGTAATCTCGATGATATTCTTTCAAGAACTTGTACTGTCAAGCATAAAAGCAACCATAGAATATATGAGAAATCAAACAAAATCTGTTTTTCTTCTAAATAACTGTACTGAAATACAGTTCTTTATCTTATCTTAACAGAAATCCTTGAATGAAAAGTTGAATAAATAAATAAATAATAAAAAATCCATTATTGCAAAATAAACGCCATGGGAAGTCCATCTCTTTCTTATCTTTTTCATATTATACTTATACTAACATAATTAAGAAGTACCAGAAATACCCGATAGGCTATCAATTCAATGAATAGGAAAAAAAATCAAGCAAAAGAATACCCAGATTAACTTCCAGATTGAATAGGCAGTTACAGTAAAACAGAAATACATGAATCACAGTAAAAAAAAAAAAAAAAAGAAGGAAAAGGAAAACCTTCAATTCTTACTTAATTATCTTAACAGAAACACAGAGACGTTGCTTAATGAAGGTGAGCTACCTTCGTTTTCAGGCAGAAGTTGTGCAACAGACGTCAAAACAAGAGATGCATAAACACTGAAAATAACGATTTTCACAAAATTTGTTCTGGTTTTAGCCCTTTTGGTAAGAAAAAACTCCATTAAAACTCTTATTCTGTTCAATCCAGCCAAAGAAATTTCATGACACCCCCATTATATTAATTAATGAAGACGAAGATTAATCAAAAGTTGAAAAAGGAAAAAGAAGAAAAGTTGGTTTTGCTTGAGAGTTTCCAAAAAGTGAACAGAAGAAAGTATCGTCGAACTCCAATAATGTTGTTGGTTTTGGCCAAAGAAATTTCATCACACCCCCATTATATTAATTAATGAAGACGAAGATTAATCAAAAGTTGAACAAGGAAAAAGAAGAAAAGTTGGTTTTGCTTGAGAGTTTCCAAAAAGTGAACAGAAGAAAGTATCGTCGAACTCCAATAATGCTGTTGGTTTTGGAATGGAAAATGCAGAAAGAACAGAAAAATTATGAGTTATTAGTATTAACATGAGACAAAAATCAGAAAAATACTTTTTAGTTGGGGTGTGTTTGATTACATTTATTTTTCATGAAAAATTGGTATTTTTCACTCAAATTCGTATTTGAAGTGTTTGATTGCTATTCTTTTTCATGGAAAATATTTTTCAACTTTTGAAATTATGCCTAATTTTCCTTATTTTTAAGGAAAATATTTTCTTTGGGTAGAGGTGGTTTTTATTTTTCACAAAAGATGAAAAATATTTTCTTTTTTATGTGATATTTTTCATATCGATCAAACACACTCTTATTGAAAAACTCAAAATATTTTTAAATTTTAGAGATTCGACTCTTCTACATGTCAGACTTCGATTTGTTTATGTGAAATCAATATGCTGCTGCATGTTTTGGACTTTTGACACGTATATGTACGATGGACATGGAGGCCGCACTATCCATCTAAAAAATATAGAAGCCATCAAATATTTGTTGGATTGTCACCCGCGCGAATAGTATGTACATGCTGGAAAATTAGTTGCGGATACTTGTTGAGAACAACAATTTTAATGCAGAGTAAGAAAATTTATTACAATGCTTATCACAGTACGGTGTTCTAAAGTAAAATTGTTTGTGAACTGCAGTATCCCTTTGAACAATTACTTCCATGATACAATTATCGAATTAATTATATTGCAATTACAAGCTATTTTTAGAACTCTTAAATTTTGCTATAGAAAAAATAAATGTAAAATAATTCTTAAATCGATTTTGCATAGAAGTACATAAGACGAAATGTTTTCAATGTCTTTTTTCCAAGAAAAAGAGAGGTATATACAATCCACAAATTATAACTTCCAATAATAATTCGTAATGTAATAAAATAAAACCCTTGGTTTTATTATTTTACTGATTTTGGAGATTGTATAATGCTTACTCTGAAACTTTCCGTTTATACCTTTTCTTTTCTTTTCCTTTTTTTTTTCCTTTTTTTTTCTATCTTCATATTTGGATTTCTATCTAATGATCTAGGACGTAATCCTAGACATGAAGAATAAAATTCAAAGTGTTTTTCTTGGTTAAATTTTAAGTTTGCTTAGGATTCTATTAATTCCACATGTTTAACTAAAATTTCCAAAATTTGAAAAAAAGAAATAAATAAATCATGTCATCAACTGAATTGGAAAAAGAGTGATACTAATTCACATACCCCGTTTCGAGTTACCCTAATGAACCCGACAAGTGATGTGCCCTGATAATAGATACTAGCTAAGTGCCGAACCCATCAAGGTATCTTTGATCTACTTTAACTGTGATAAATTTTTAAAAGAATTTTGACATGGCTTCCTTTGAAATATGACCAAACCACCTAAACAATAATTAACATCCTCAAATCAATACATATAATACAAAACAGGGTATACCAACCCCTCAAATCACCAACCATTTAAAATAAAATGCACTATAATAAAATTTACACTTCTATACAAACAAAAGACTCCCAATTGCACAACATATACAAAAATGCAACGAGCCCATACCGTGGATACATTTTTCAACAAAAAAATACAAGTATCCAAAAAATATAAACTATATAAATTGACAAGATAAGGCATACAGCAAATGACAAAGGGTGGCTCAACTTGGTAGATCAACAGGTCCAACACTGCTCAACTTAGCTACTATCTGATAAGAAAAATGGTGACAAAATATGAGCTTGTAATTCAGTGAGTGGTTCTTGCAAATAAGTATATTTTTTCCATTTATACAAATTTTCTGAAAATGCTTATGCTATTACAACTTTAAAAAAGTCTAAAATCTAATAATTCTTTTAAGATTAAAGCATAATGGAATCATAAAACTCTTTATTCTTTATTTTGAATGAACAACTATAAAATATAATGAATATAATAAATCTAACATCTATACTATGAGTAAAAATATTATTTTACAGTACTATAAACAGAAATCTTTATTCTTTAAATTGAATAAATTAAATTCTGTAATTTGAAATTTGATAAACTGTAAAATACTAATAACATCACACCAAAAAGGTACTCAAAATAACCTACTCATGTATCAATTAATATTGATATACATGGCAAAGCTCTCAAATTCTGAAATTCTGAGATTCTGAAATTCTGGTCATACGCTCGCAGAGCTGACTAAAGACTATAAACTGATCATACACTGTGGAAACACATTCACACCAATGCAAAGTAGGTAAAATAACTATACGAGATTTTACACTGTGAAAACACATTCACATAAGTGCAGATTAGGGTAAAATCACATTCGATTTGCTTTATAAAAAGAAGATATCAATGAATTTCTACAAAATGGTTTCACGAGATTCAATCGCTTTTATTTTGATGTTTCTATTCAGCAGATGTGGTTATTGGCAAGAACTTATTGAATCCATCGTTTAGGCTCATAATAAATTAAAAGTTGTTCCTTCCTTTCCTTTATTCATTGATGTAAATGGTTGCTCTATATTAATAGAAAATTCGTACAATGAAAGAGATTATCCACTTGACTAGACATCTAGGGGTAAAGCACTATTTTGTTGGTGGTCGTGAAAGCGATACCATCATTTTTTTCACAAGGGATCATGCAGGTGAGTTGCAGCCTACAATCCAAACCGAGGACGGGTTTTTGGGTTTAATTCACCCCCGCGAAATCGCAACCCTTTGTCCTTCGAACCTCAATACAAAAAACTCATATCTCTCCCAATTGAAAAAGAGAATTACCACATTACACATAATGTAATGAGTCTCTCTTTCTCTATTTTATTTTATAGAGATATACAAATCATGAATTTCTTTTAGATTAGATAAAGGAAAGGCATGAACGAGCCTATAAATAAAAAAATAAAGAAAAATAAGAAGATATCTTTGTGTTGATTTTGTTCGAAAGGCCCTACGTTTTTAGATGGCTTGGCCTGGTTAGTACCTAGTCAGGCCCACTCTTTTGTTCCAATGAATTATAGATAAATAATAATATATTTGATTTGAAAACAAAAATGCTTGTTATTTAATATATTAAATTGAATCTAAAATATTCAAGCAGCAATAAAAAGAAGAAAGACTATTTATATTCTTTTTATTTCTCTATTTGAATTTTCATTTTCGAAACTAAAAAAGAAACTATTGATTTTTCCACAATGCATTATTCAGTTATGATTTTAGTGTTTTTTGTAATCCATAGCTATCAAAACTTCTTCAGTGGAAGATTAAAACTTTAGTTATTTCATCAAATAACATATATGTCTAATGCTCACCTTAAATCTATGGGCAACAAGTGGAGTGGCAATGCTAGAAATAATGGAGTAATGAAAATATTAATTATGTTAGGGTGTGAATAGGTGAATACTACAAAATTAAAATTATCAATTAAAAGCAACAACGCACTTTTTAATTATTTCTAGATTATTAATCAAACAAGTCAATTTATCCTATGTTTGAATGCCACAATACTTAATAAAGTAATAAAGAACATAACACATGTTGACAGAGAAACCCAACAAGGTAAAAACTCCAAAATCAAGTCAGTATCCTTTGCTATAGACAATGACGAACTTACAGTACGGTTTGGTCTAGAACATTCTACTAGACTCACTGATCTACTTCCTACAATCTCCAAGACCCATTAGAATGTACTTCACTGACACCTTTTCTCGATCTTCTAGAATTTTCTATCTTATTTGGCTCACCAAAAACGCATCGTTCTTGTATTTTTCCTGTGCTTTTGATCCAACCTTCCTCAATTCTTCAGCAACCTCCGAATGTTCTTGAGAAAGTACATTCCTGTATGTGTATAGGAAGTGGGTGTTTTGAAGTTTATGTTTTTCCCAAAGTGTGGTTGTATAAACTCAACAATTAAAGGATCAATCTAAAGCTTGAATTTGTTTTTGAATTTTTGAATGATGATATGGAGAAGGAATACAACGAACAAGCACACCCTAATTTCGTGTTTGGGCAAGGGTATATATAGTAGAAGGTAATTAGGTATCATAGGTCGGATAAAACTCTTGAAAAACGTGAAGTAGGGTTTTACGCGTAACACTGTCACTTGAGTCATAGCTCGACGATAGGCGAGCGACAATCTGTCACTCGAGTGATAGTTGGACGATAGAGTTTCTATTTTTGCCTCTCGAGCATGACATGGGTGATAGGCTAGTGTAAATCCGGTAGCTCTTTCCTCTTTGTTCCAAACTAGAACCCTAACTTACCTAACTAATATATACAATATTGCAACTTATTCCTTGACTTTTACAATTCTTTATTTTAGTCCTTTTGTTTAAAGAATTGCCAAAATACTAAAATCCTAACAAACTCCCCATTTGACATTCTGTGACAAACCATATAATATAGGTCAAGTAAGTGAAATCAAACTAATGTACCCAAATCTAAACTGAATGTCCACCTCTTACATTCCTTGTTAAATCTATTTCCTAAAATCATCAACTCAAATACCAAGTGCATAAGCACTTGATACAGGAAATATAACAGTTGAAACACATTATCATAAATATGCTAGCTAGATTGAGAAATAATACTAATATTAATCAAAACACCAATTGAAACATTAATATTACCATATATCAAAACTGAAATAAGCTATGCATTATAATATGGAATGCCACGAATAAAAAATACAATTTTCTTTTTCCCTTACACTCATCTCTCTAAAAATGCAGTTGATATGCAATGCTTTATCTTTTTCTCCCTCTTACTGCAAAGCTTTATATAAACTCTTTCCACTAAATGACTAAAGGCATTCTATAGTGTAACAATTTGAACATCAATAAATAATAACTCAAAGATACAGTTGATAGCATACATAAGCATAATTAATGATTAATAAACTTTTCCACATATTTAGTTCAAGCTAAAATGGAGTAAATTGTATGAGTGACTCATGTGTGTAAAGTGTCACTAATCTTTTTTAAGCAGGACTTCAAACCTTAATTTTTTGAGAAAAGACATGCTAAACATCACTGTCAATAAGATTATCCCTCTACTTACGACGTGTGGGGATTGGCAGAAGCTTTTCA